TTTAAAATCAAATTATAACATTCCTCTAATTTTGTTAACGGATGTCTATTCACAATCTTTGCTTTCATCCCTAGATTCTTACTTTAGTTTGAATTTTTTCCGAAGGAAGAGATGAATAAGATGAAAAAGAAAGCAACTTTATCAGTGACTATGGTGATTTTGATCCTCTGTGCAACTTTCCGAGGTTGTTTCCCAGCTGCCAGTCAGCCTGCAGACACGAAGAACTCAATGCAATCCGCTGTCGCTCGTGGGTCTCTTCTTTTCCTGTTACTGGGAATGTTTATCCTCTTGGTCATGTTTCTGATTCTTTCACAATCTTTAGGTATTCTCAAGTAATGTTAGTTGGGATTCATACCCATTTCCATTTTCTGAAGAAATTTTACTAATTTCCTAGTTCTTGATTGATTTCCGTAGTTGTGCATTTTCTATACATTCTTCGTTAATCTCAGGACACATTTGCATACATTAATTGTTTCACCCTGAAAGATATAATATTCCTTTGTTTCTTGCTCAATTTTTTTGGAAGTCAGATTTCTGGACTTGCTTCTTATGCTCTTTCTTTGGGGATTCTAACTTATCTTGTAATATCTGCAGTTACTATCTGTAACCATGTTATTACAAAATTTCTACCATTAGAGATTCCTTCACTATATTAAAAACTTCTTCATATTCTTGAGCTCAGTCAAGCTTAATCCAGTTGAGCTGGAACCCAGCTACAACTTGGCAGTTGGCGTTAAAATGGCTTACCTACACTTAGGTCAGTCAAACATTGTCAAGGCTCAGAAAGGATGACTCCATGCCAAAATAGAAAAGATAAATGGCTTCCATTCTGTTATGTAGCAAATACATCCATCGCTAGAATTACTCCTCTTTTGTGACCTAGAAATTGTAAGATGCTACGGGGTACTTCCCCAAATACAATTAGGTAATATGACACTAGTGTCTGCTACAGAAATAACAATTACCTTAACATATTTCCAGTCACAAGTTAGCTGCATGGGTTTCCTACCACGGGAAAATCGCATTTCATCTTGATGTTTGTCTCGTCCACCAACAATTTCTGAAGCTGTCTTCGAAATGAATTGATTTGGTC